CGAATTCCTGCGTCGTAATGTACGAATGTAAAAATATTAGCTATACAACAGAGATTTAGTTAACGTATTGTCACCAGTTCGCGCTCTCCACGTTTGCAGTCGGTCTTCCTGGATGTCGCGCACCATGCGGACGGGAGGTGGAAGTGGAGGTAGCCGTGTCGATGCTGACACTGCCACAACTTCACGGAGGCTCTAATGATTCATCTGACGAGTCCGAAGTGTTGGATGGTTGACGTGAGAAGCCTCGGGATGAAAATGAAGCACATTGACTTCGCGCTGTTGGCACGAGCGACCGAAATGGCGGTGACCGCTAGGAAAGTGGCCCCAGTCACAGTTGCCGAAGAGACCAGAAGTTGCAGCTTAGCTGAGGCCGATACTTCGGTGGTGGTGGCGGCGGCCCGATCTTGATCGGGGCTGCTGGTTCCAGGGGCGTACAGGCTGATGGCGTCAGCTGCAGTGTCGACGCTGTCATGTCCGTGCTCTCGCCACTGCTTAGAAGACCCAGCCTCTCCTGTTAGGAACCTAGAATCTTCCTTCGCGCCTTGAGCACACCAGGCCTCCGTGGAAACTTATTAGACGTCAGCATGCCAGTTCCGAATATGGTGCACTGCAGAATATGGTTCGTTGGTTGTTCTTCAGTGACCTGGCGTAAGCCAGCATAAATTGGCACCTATAAGCTCGTGGTCGTCTTCTGTCCCTTCGAAGCACGAGCGCTTGAGTATTACGATGGTGTTGAATGATGATTTATTTCGCCGCGTGCCTTCTCCAGGAACTGGAGTATAATAGGATGACTTTTCAAAAAATGTGCATGGTTATTTTCTTTTTTTTCTTCAGTTCACCATTTTTTTTAGAGAGAGAGAGATAAGCAATCTTTTTATTCCGTGAAAGGTTTCTGGGCAAGTGGGAGGGGTCCTCAGTCCAGGGCTCCACTGGCCTTAGCGGCTCGCAGGGCTTCATCAAGCAAAACCAGCTGCTTTTCCCGATCCTAGCAAGCAAGGTCTCACACAGCCTCGGTCGAGATGTTGTGCCCAAAAGAGGAGAATGAACATGTTTGGGCCGTGATTCGCATTCCCATTTAATTTGAAAAAGAGAGCGCTACTCGCCCCACCGCGGACATGGGCGTGCTTATATTGTGGGATATATGTGCATGGTTATTACTTTGTTTCTTTGTAAGTGAGGGTACGTGTTCATTCTGTACTCGATGCCAATCTCGCAACTGTTGTCCAGTTAAATCCAGGTGGGGGTGACTGCATTTTTGTCGTTCTCCTCTTTGGTTTTCGAGGATGCCGCGTTGAGTTGAGGGGGGTTCCTCGAGGGTTAGGACCGGTGCTCCAATGCTTATTTCGCGAGCCAGCCGGTCGGCCCTTTCATTGCCTTTAAGTTCTTGATGCACAGGGCAGCGTGTGGATTTGTAGTCACTTCCCTAGATTTCTCATAGCTGCCCTTGGAATCTACTAAGCCTGAAACTTACAAGACTCAATAAAACCGCTCTATAAGATTATCTTTTAAAGTGGCCTACTTGTTCATTCTGCAGATGGGTACTGTTCCTTTCTCTTCAGACTGCGCCTTTGTGAATTCACACTTGCAAATATTTTTGATGTGTTAAGCGGTCATTTCGGGAAGTAAAAAAGCAGTTAACTTACACAGAGAGTGCACTTTAGGGGTAGGGCTTTAGTATTGTGTAGTATGCTGTCGTAATTAGTTGGCACAGTGCTCCGAGGGTTGGATATTGAGCGTGCGCTTGTGCCAAGGAGAAGTCGTAGTGCCCCCTCTTGTCCTTTGAGTTCCTTGGTGATGATCAGCCCCGCCGCGGTGGTCTAGTAGCTAAGGTACTCGGCTGCTGACCCGCAGGTCGCGGGATCAAATCCCGGCTGCGGCAGCTACATTTCCAATGGAGGTGGAATTGTAGGCCCGTGTACTCAGATTTGGGTGCTTGGTAAAAAACTCCAAGTAGTCAAAATTTCCGGAGACCTCCACTACGGTGTCTCTGATTATCATATGGTGGTTTTGGGACATTAAACTCCACATATATACATTGCTGATGATAACTTATCATCAGTAGGAAAAAAAATAGTGCGCTTGGCGTAATGCAGGTAAAACTTTGTATCAAAATAGAAAAAAGGAAGCAAAGGCACAATATAAAGAAAGCTTAAGGGAAAAAATTGGAAAGAAATAGAAAGAGCAAAAAATAAAAAAAGAGATATCGAGAGACGATGAAATAAATAGAAATAAACAAAGAGAAAAGAAAGTAAACGTTGTAAAAAGAGAAATGTTAAATGAAGATATATAGAAAGAAAAAAAAGTTAACCGAAAAGAAACAAGGAATATATCCCAGACCCACACTTCTTTCAGGCCTGTCATCACAAAAGCGAAACTGCCTTATATTAATTTTAAATCAGCAATACTGATAATAAATCGAGCTTTTATCGTGAATTTTCGTATTGAAGGCCCTTCTTTACGTATTTATGTTATTAGCTAATGTTTCGGATCGGTAACAATTATGTTACTAAGGTGAAAAGAAGCTAAAAAAAGACTATATAGGCAATAGCCACGACGCCGTTACGACGCGAGACTGTAACACTGATTGTTGAAGCAGGTTTGAACGCTTTTATATTAATAGTGAGCACGCAGCCTCACACAGAGAAAGAAAGAGCACACCACATTATAGTGGTTCTCCCTTCTATTTTTCTGTGTTTTCACGTGCGTCCTCTCGTAGATAATCTGGAAGCATTCAGTCAATACAAACTAGCCCAGATAAATGCATTGGCAGTAAGCTGATGTGCAGCGCTTGTGCTTGCGAGTATATGATGGCCCTCGCTTGTGACAGGGTCGCCAGGTTTGGCTATATTGCACCTATTTGGCCACTATATTAAGCCTCTGGCCGCAGAAAAAAATTATCTTAGCTACTTGGCTCATTTTCGGCTACTAAGTTATACCCTACATATTAGCAACATTATCAATGTTTGGTCATGCCGCAGTCGCGGCTGTTCAACAATACAGACGCGAACCATCGCAGTCAAAGCATGCTTCCAACTCCGAACACTTAATTTCGCGCTTTGATTGCACATCTAATTCACTTTATTGAAAATGATAGCGCAGTGGCATAAAAAAGCATAAAGGGCCAATAGTAGCGATCATGACATCAATATAAAGAAGTCAATATAACCTGTCATTGACATATCACATCAGTGAATACTTTTACACCCTTAAGGGTGTAGTACGGGTGTTTGCGTTACAAAAATTGTTACGAACACCCCTATTACACCCACATTTTAACATTTAAGGGTTCGTAAATATAACATCCTTACAACATCCCATTTACACCCTTGTCTTGGGGGTGTTATAAACAAGGCTAGAAGTGCTTGATATTTTAGGACAGTTCTGATTATATTTACTGTACATATTAACCACCTCAATACCAGTAAGGTCTCTGTTAATAGCTGCCAGTGGTTATAGTAATGAATCGAAGCAGGAGATAATGTAATGCAACCGAAACGCAGTGTTGATCGATAAAGCGCGCAAACTACAAAGTCGGAAGACAACAGCAGGAGCACATTTTATCAAATAAAGTAAAGACCAATAATATTTTATCTATTCCTCTCGGATATGTCGTTTGTGTGATTCGTGAATTCTCCCAAAGTGCTGTAACTCGCCTGAATCGAAGTAATGTTGTGCACAATGGCGTAGCCATTGTGTGCAATATTACTTTGATTCAGGCAAGTCGACTTGCTATGACGCACATGAATGAGTGTCAGCTGGAGACACAACACTAGCTAGAAAAAAAATATATGCTTTGGCTCACTCGAAAAGAGATTATGACCATTTAATGTATGTTTGAAGCGATGATATTGGTGAATTTCAGACATAATGAACGTTTTTCTGCAATGTGAATAATCTAATCAAACTTTGAAGCCATTTTTCTCAAAACCTGTGTTTTTGCAACCTACACTTACGCGAACAGTGTTAACTCTCGTTCTAATCAATATTTTTCCATAAAGCTTTTCTTACTATTTTTATATGTGGAGCTGTGCATTCAAGTAGAAATATCGAAAACGAGTCGTAACTTTTTGTACACTGGCCAATTGCGTGACATAGGAGCCATTGCCAAATATCACAAGTGACATGGCCGAATATCAACTTTTACAGTGATTTTGTGATAACGTGCTAGTTTAGAGATTTGGTGATCATCAAGGTTAGATGCAGAGAGTAGTGTCCTCATTACATACATGCCAAGTCGCATTTAAATTGCACCCTTCATTCGGTAATTATGGTTGTTGGCGCAACAAGTATATTTTGGCATATATTATTTTTATATTCAGTTTTTTTTTCAATTTTTTGCAGTTTCATTATTGTAAAGATTGAATTTATCTATGCCCTATACAAGCCAAAATTATTATGATAACTTTTGGAAAAAAATTGTAAAACTTATTTTGAAGGTGGTGACCTACCTTAATGCAGATAGCTTAGTTGTCTTTACATGTACGTTGTTCGGTGTGCATGCTGTTCAGATCAGTTTTCGCTTTTACGAACAAAGCATTTTATCAGCGAGACTCACCTCTTGTCATGCTGTCGAAGTACACATATTTCTAATAGCTTGATTTCTTTAGGGTCATCGCAATGTAGGTACGTGCAATGATCTATGCCTAGCTGCCGGCCACCCAAAACATATCATTTTCTCCATTTTCATGCCAGAGATATCTAAAAAATCTGCGATAGCATTTGTATTTTCCACAAAATCCAATCATTACAAAATAAATTAGTACTTAAGGTTGCGTGAACGAATTCTCCTCTGATAGAGATTTCGTAGCTAGCATAACTGTCGCGTGCAAGTGGCGCGACACAAGATATAGAAAGCATATTAGCTAACTCTAAGTCTACTGCCACATTTTCACCTCTGCCCTTGATAACGCTTCTCGAAGTGAATGCCTGTGTAGACTACGCAGTTGAAATTTATGTTTTATTTTTATGTTGTTCTTTAGAATGATACGTAGAATATTTACACTGCCGAAAAGCACTTGCCTTGTCCAACCGCGTAGACCTTCAGCTTAGCGCGGGTCTCAGCTACTAAATCTGGTGGCGCTGTGCTTCCGGTCAAACTGATCATCATCAGGCTGCTCAAGTCGTACTCCTCCAGAAGTGGGCTTTTCAGCATCATTCTCAAGTACGTTGGAAACTGAAGGAGGAAAGAAACCTGCAAAAATAGGAAAAATGTGTACGGTGCGTGACACGCAAGTACGCATGAATTGCTTAAATATATTTTGAGAAGTGTTTGCCATTCTTGCTAAGTTATACTGAACAGCTAACTTCGTTGAAAAATTTCTTAACGTAATAGGTGTGGTAGCCTTTTATCTGTAGCTGGAGAAGATACAAGCAGGTAAATTTGTGAGTGTATATAATGATATTCAGGACGTGTTCACTTCTTTCGGTTTGTACTATATTGATCATTAAACTGTGTTTCGGCTCTGGCTGCCCACCGTTTTCACAGCGCTAAGCCTGGTCTCTAAAACCGCATGCTAGCATGGTTTTATGAGCAGAGCTGTTGGTGCTTTTTGTTACGCCGTGCAACACAGTAACTCTACAGGCGCGCTCTTTTTGTCCTCTTCATCATCTTGGAAGAACATAGTGCACCGCTGAAGGTTTACCTTGCAGGTTTGGTCTTGCACAGTCACCTTTATGTCTACATTGCAATGATAGTAAGTCGTTGGATTATTTCTTTTTAAGATGCAGATTATTTGCGAATCAGAGGAAAAGACTTCCAAATGAACTGCTTCGAAGGATATGAGTTTCAATTTGTCTCTTCCGGTTTTTCATTTGTTTTTTGCGGGGGAGGGGGGTGGACTACCGTGCCGTGTATTAGCCAAAAGATCGTTTGCGAGGCCGTATGCGATATGCATGAGACGAGACGAATTCAATGCAAATGTGTCACAAACATCGAGCATTCTCAACCACGCGCCCTGTCATCGAAGGGAGGGCACCTTTGAACTGGGAAGACTTCTGGCAACTATACTCGGCAACAGCACCGTCAAGTCTTCCCTATACCTGCAGCGAAAGGGGCACGCATGCGTTTGGAGAAAATTACTTTGAGAAAGATGCGTATACCCCGAAGACAATTTGACTGCTTCGGCAGTTGACGTTCGACCATCGAGAAGCGCGGTCATCGGAGTCGCAAGTCTCGCGTAGGCAGCTATCATGAAGTGTCCCGCTCAACAAAAGTGAGTCGGCTGCAACACCGGGGATCCTGGTCCATCTATCCAAGCTGGCGTGATCTTCAGTAGCACCCGTCAGCTCCTCTACGTGTACCACGAGCAGACCGGGCCCGTACGAAACATTTTACTGTGGCCGAAAAAAACAAACACAGATAGGGTGTTGTTTTTGCTAGCTGCAGTATGCAACAGACTCTGCTAGTTGTGAAAGTTCCTAGTCTCCTGATGGTGGCGTTCCGAGGTCGCAAGATGACCATGACGTGGGACCCACGCCGGCAGTGGCGCTGCGGTGCCGGGCGCTGTGAGTGAATGTGGGGAGCAAATTCGTTTTTTGACTGTTGACACCTCAGCTGTCAAACTGCTTGGAAACGAGTTGGTTCGGTCTTGTGGGTGTCATGGCACTTGAGGCGTTCTAAGCAGTTCCGCCTGATAGATGGCTCCTTTTTTTCTGCATTATGGCGAAGGGGCAGCGCATACTCAGCCTTCTGGGAGATGGGGAATAGGTAATAGCAGAGAGGTGGCATTCAAAACGCCGAAAAACAAAAGGCCGAATGATTACGAGGGTGAATTTCAGAACGAAAAAAAATTAAAATGTCAAAAAGTGTCAATGCGAAATATTTAAAATGCTGAAAACTTGAAACGCCAGAACATCAAAACGCCGGCAATACCAGCACCTTGCCATAATAGAAGATACCGATGCACCCGTGATTGAGCATCCGTTGGCCTGCGCGCTTTCGCCCTCGTTTCTAATAGCCATGAATTTCCTTCGCTTATGAGTGAAGCCTTCGAAAACAAAAGAAATATATTCCTTTGTTCACTCAATTTCATACAGATAAATTGTGGGCGATGCCTCGCCGGCAAGTTAGAACGTTCACAATGTTCCGATTGGGCAGCACAGCTGCCAAAAGATTTTATACAACTGATTTTTCGTTACTTCTGGGAAGATTAATCGTAAGAGAATATGGTTATTGAAAAAGAGGGTGATGGAACCTTTATCTTGCTAATCAACATTATCGTCTATCACAGCTAGGTGATGACGTCTTCATGCTTTGGCATTTTAACGTTTTGGTGTTTTGGTTTTTTTTTGGTATTTCAAACTTCCGGCACCTTGAGTTTTTGGGCATTTAAATTTTTTGTCTTTCTGATGTTCGGCCTTCTAATAATTCGCGGTCTTAATTTTCGACGTTTTGATAGAGACACTAGCAGACGACATCGTCATATTCTTGGCGAAGTTCTTTTGCATAACGAAATGTTTGTGGCGAACTGAGAACGACGACGAAAAATGAAAAAAAAAAGAGGACAGAAAATTTGACTGGCTACTTTTATCCTGAGAGACAGGGTTGAGCTGTTTCCCGTACTATATATTTGCTATAAATCCTTGTCGCCTCTGCTGGCTCCCTTGCGTTTCCATCGGCACTACCCAAATAGACAAAATATATCACCGTACAATAAAAACTCGACATCTGTGTACACGCCTTTTGATAAGGCATCCTTCATGATACAAACTATCGGCAGCAGCTAAATAAGGGATGGTAGGTACGTAATCAACTAACATATGCAAGATTTCTTTCGTTTATACAACATTAATGAAAACCAACGGATAATAAGCCATGGAAGATAAAGAGGACATAAATCGTGCTGTTTTGACTGCGTTGTAGTAATTGCGATATATACGAGGAAAAAAGTATAGTGTACGAAAACACCATTAAAGAGCTTTCCTTTCGTAGAACAAAGCCAGACGAGTTTTAAAATAAGTTTATTCATTTATTCCGTCATCCAGCTTACTGTTTTTACGTTTGAATCGCGATGACTACAATACAGAGAAAGCTGTACAATTCAAGCCTATTCTACATTCCTTGGCTTCACCTGTTCGTTTTCATTGAAGTAATATTTTGAGTAGTCATATATTATATATCGAAGCAGGGAAAACGTTGGTGTCTAATAATTTGACCAATTCTGTCATTTACCATCGGCATCAGCGATCCTATACAAAATATTAAATGCATAAGTTGACTCCGCGCCACACTCTATATAGCTTACTTTTAGTGAAAAGAAAACGAAACTCGAATGCACTGTAGTAACTTTTCGGGTGTGTATCACCAAGTAACTCGGTTGATCAGCACAGTTGTAAACAGGAATGAATTCTGGTAATGTTCAGTGCCAAGTACAGATACTCGTTTTCGCTGCCTACTGAACTCTAACCACGCACTGCTAGCTCAGCTTTAGAAAGCCGCGCCGGTCGTCTGCTACCTTTCGAGTGTAAACAAAATATTACCGGTGAAATCAATAGATTCGTGTTCACAATACTGCCCTGGCAGTTCAACAAGTACCAGTTTCCGTCGGGGTGAATTCGCAGAACAAAGGGTGTTCCGAGGAGTGACCTTGTCCACCATGCATTCTGCACACCACAACTGAAGTTGCTGATCCTTGTCCTAATAGGCCGAACAAGCAATTAGCACCTTCTTGCATCTTGTTTCAAAGGCTGCTGAAAATGTGTAGAAGCCTCTCACAATAAGCAGCAGATAGCTGTCAAGGAACATATTTAGCATTGTTTAAACTACAGGTGTGATGTGACAAAAGAGAGAAGTTGGAGGATCGCTAGGCCGTAAAGAGTTTTGACTCCCTGGTATCATTCGCTATGGTTCAGGCACAAAAACTTCAAATATTTTCAAACAAAGTGGTCACCGCGTTATCAAGAAGTGCCAGGCCAATTATCAGCAGCGCTACTTTCACACGCGGAGTGAAGTTTCAGTGTCCTGGGGAGGTTTAGACACCTAGCACGTGCTCAAACTTCCCACATTTTTATGGTGTGTGAGTGCTGCCATCTATGAACACAAACAGTTCAAATCTGAGTTGCGCCCCGCCGCGGTGGTCTAGTGGCTAAGGTACTCGGCTGCTGACCCACAGGTCGCGGGTTCGATTCCCGGCTGCGGCGGCTGCATTTCCGATGGAGGCGGAAATGTTGTAAGCCCGCGTGCTCAGATTTGGGCGCACGTTAAAGAACCCCAGGTAGTCGAAATTTCTGGAGTCCTCCACCACGGCGTCTCTCATAATCATATGGTGGTTTTGGGACGTTAAACCCCACAAATCAATCAATCAATCAATCAATCAATCAATCAATCAATCAATCAATCAATCAATCAAAACTGAGTTGTTTGGAGCTGGTGAGCTCTCTTAATATTGGGATGGCCGACAGCGAGAAGTGCCAGGACTGCGCCGTCGATGAGACTATCGAACACCTCTTATGTTACTGCCCGGCATACACAAATGAGAGGCTTCACATGCACAGTGTTCTAAATTAACTGGACAGAAGTAATTTTACTGTCGAGATGGTATTTTGACCATGGCACTGCCCATCTCAATAGGTGGATAGCAAAATTCTGGCTCACGCAATAAATTGAGGGCTACGACGCCCGTCTGCACCGATTTCCGGTTCGAAGCACCGTGATGCCGAGCGGACATTTTTGCCAGTGCCGGCGTTTTTTGCGTGTTCCACCTTGCACTCGTGGTGACATTTTCTTATAAATTGCTGCGTAATACATTGGAGTGCTATGCAGCATGATTGAATAACAAATAGAATCACTACGAGATAGTTATGATCACGCGAGCTGTCATTTTTTCATTGAAGTTGTTGCAACTCCGAACACATGCTTGTTGTTTTGCAGCAAAGGTTATATCGCGCATGTTTTGTCTCATACGAAGATTTCTTGAACATCATGTGAACACGAAATATCCGTTCACTTGTTTCCTTGTTGCTGACGTACCCTTATTATGAATTATTTGCTTTTTGGTTGCAAAGATACCATTCCGGGCTCCATATAGCAATGGCCGTGGTAATGTGTTTCGGACGCCATAAACTCTTTAAATGAGGGGTCGTCCCTCACATGCTCAAACAATGTTTTTCAACGCATGCAAAATTACCCGCCCTCAGCGTACAGTCTGGCAAGATATGCATTTAAGGCTATGAGTCGGAATTTGACATGATCTA